AGAGAGAGAGAGAGAGAGAGAGAGAGAGAGAGAGAGAGAGAGAGACACTTACAGTACCGCGCACCCGTGTTCAGCGTCACGCACCCCAGCACAAAGCCGAGCACGGCCACCATCTTGCCGATGGTGATGTGCCACGTGCGCTCGTTGAACCGGCCCGACGACCACGCCCACGCGATGGACGTGAAGCCGGCGATCAGGTACGGCGGGCACGTCAGCGCCAGCGTAGCCGTCTGATCGAAACCCAACGTGCCGATGACGGTCGGGAAGAAGTTCTTGAACCCGTTGGCGCCCAGGTGCATGTGCTGCATGTAGGCAAACAGCCAGACGCGCGGGTCCTTTGCCGCCTGTGCTAGCCCGCGCCACGTCGACGTGACGCCCTTCTCGCCGACCGTGTCGCGCACGATGCGGTCGTGCGCCAGCTGGCGCTCCTCGGGCGTCAGCCAGCGCGTCGTCAGCGGCTCGTCGGGCAGGAGCCAGAGGCCGGCGCCGGCGACGACGAAGGTGACGGCCCCCTGAATAATAAAAAGCCAGCGCCAGCCCTTGATGCCCATCATGCCGTCCATCTCGAAGATGCCGATGGCAATGAGGCCCGCGAAGGCCGTGGCCAGGATGTTGCCCGTGTACAGGACCGAGATGCGCGTCGCGATCTCCTTGCGCGTGTAGAAGCTCGCCAGCATGTAGAGCGCGCCCGGGTAGTAGGGCGCCTCGGTCACGCCCAGGAAGAAGCGCGTGAGCACCATGCCTGTGAAGTCCTTGGAGAGCGCCGTCAGCGCGCTCACGATGGCCCAGAGCGCCATGAAGGCCGACATCCAGATGCTGGGGCGCACGCGCGTCAGCATCATGTTGGAGGGGAGCTGCATCAGGATGTATCTGTTGCGGGTTCCGGCGCGTTAGCGTGGTCTTCTGTTGGCGTTTCCTTTCGTCACCCGCTCCTGGCCCCAGCTCAGTAACTCTCGTTCACATACCCAACGAATAAGATCGAGATGCAGGTCTGGTACTCTCCCGGCTTGAGGTTAAGGTCTTTCTCGAGGCCGTTGAGGCGCGCGAGGGCGATGGCGTTCCTGTCGAGATAATTGAGCCAGTACATGAGCCACAATATAGGCATCATATACATGTCCAGCTTGCGCACCAGCTTGATCTCGCGCGGGTCCGTCTTCTCGTGCGCTCCCGAGTAGTCGAGCTCGGCTTGCCCAACCTTCAAGGGGTCGCCCCCTTCGGCGTGCTCGGTTCGGAGCGGCTCGCCCGCCGCCTTCTCGGGTGCGATCGCATTCTTGTGGTCGGCAGGGTTGTCTTGGTTTTGTCCCTGGGAAGACCGCTCGAGGTCGGCCTTCTCCGTTGGCTTGTCCATCTCGTGTTTCCCTGGTGGCTCCGACAGAATGGTGGGAGGTGTCTGCTGGACGGAGGGTAGATAGGCGACAAGACCGAGAGTAGCTTTTGCTACGGGTATCTATGGTCGCCGTCTCTCTTTATAGCATCCCCCCCATCTCCGCAAACACATATGCATCCTGCTGGGGCTCGGTGCTTTTCCGGGCGTAACGGTCCCTAGGCAGCCCTTGGCGGCCCGCGGCTTTCTCCCCGAGTCGTTCCACGCACAGGAATCTGCCTCATCCCATTCGTAAATGTGAGCGAACCTCGTGGGTGAAGAGTGTGCAGCCGAGAGTCTTGGGCCCAGGCGGGGAGGTGGGCTTGGAGAAGGCTTGGGTGCGCCACGTTGCCATCAAGCAATTCGGTCCGATGGGCAAGCATAGGCAAGAAGACATCTAGCGCCTAGATTTTCCACTGCCATAGAGCAGGCGACTATCGCGGCCAATCGAGGAGCAGTGTCCGAGGGGAAAGAGTGTGGGGTGACGCGGGGGAAGACCGGGGAGGTTTGAGGGGAAGCTGCAGCCAAGATGCCACATCCTTGTCACCGTTCCCAGCAAGTTCCCAAGAAACGGAAAATGCTACGCAGACTGAGCATCTTGGCGTACTTTCCGGTTATTCTCCGGCGCGAACAAACCATGCCAAGACGAAAAGGGAAGCTGACGAGCACGAGGCCGTTGTGGGCGGGAAGGCTGTCGCAGCTTGCCGGGCTAAAAAGTCCAGGGTGGGTGACATGACTCTAAATTAGCGGAGAGGTGCCATTGCCATAGGTGCATACATGGGTTTCCACGTGGCTAACGCAGAACACAGTGCCACGGACAAATTACCAAGGCAAGCGTCCATTCTCCTGCATGTAATTACCCGACGGGAGCAAAAATTCACCCTAGCTGACAAAGCATAGGGCGCAAGGAAAGCGCCAGGTCAACACAGACCGCAAAAAGCAATGACAGTCAAGGCAATCGCCTCGCTACAGGTATTTGTAACTCTCTCGCCGGGAATTGAACCCGGGTCTCGAGCGTTGTGTTTGGAATGACAAGCTCGCATACTAACCACTATACTACGAAAGATGATGCTTGGTTTGTTTGTGGTGCCGACAGCCCACAGCTTGCCCTAAAGCCCCATCGCGGGCTCCATTTCCGTCAAGGTCGTTGCTCAGCCTGACTCACCTGATAGGTCGGCATCGCCAGCGCACTTCCTAATCAGGAAGGCAGCACGGGAACGGGAAGTGGGACTTTGTGTTTGGTGGGGATGTGGCCAGTACAACGATGGACGAAGCTAGGGGGCAGTAGTATGGTGGGATAGCTTGAGTGAAGAATGGAACTACACCAAATATGAATCAAAAAAGGAATAACACGAGGGATAATAACGGGAAGGAAAATAAAACAGAAAGATGAGTCGCCCGCCACAGCGAACCTACCACTGCCGACCCCTTGCTTTGGCCGTGGGGCTGCCACCTCTGGCCCCGTCGCCAGCCCGGTCGAGCGCCTTTGGTGGTGATGGCAGTGATTTTGTTACAAAGGAGGTGGTTTGATAGCCTGTTATCCGGTGGATGATTTTGCAAAGCCTGCGCCTTTGTGCGAAAGGACAAAAGCGAGAAATGGACGACAAGGCGAAAGGGAGATTAGATGTGAATAGAGTTCACACAAGGGGCTTTATTTGTAAAAATGAACCAAATAAATTATTAACAATGGCTTGGGAAGAGTTCTTTGTAGTATCGGATGATGAGGTGAACAACTAGCTGGGGCCAGCGGTAATGTAATTGCATCCATAAGAAACCGCCGCCCCCTCGCGAGGCATTCCTGCAAACTCTTCTGTGCGAATCAAGGCTCCCAAGGCAAGGACTCAGCGCAACCGAGAGTAACCTAATCAGTCTATCCAAGCGCAAGCTCGTCCCATATCCAATTACCCACCCCCCTGACCAACAGAAACATGATCGCCAAGACAACCTCTAGCCCGACCTGCTGCGTCAGGGTCGTCCGCCACTACATGGCCTGCGACGTCCGCCCGCACAGCTCGCTCTGGGACGACGGCCGCAGGCAGGCCGAAAAGGTAGTGGACCCGATCGCCACTCCCACCGCCTGCGACAAGCACGCCTGCCCCGGCATGCCCATGCGCCGCAGCGAGGCCGGCCGGCGGGGCGCCCCCTGCCGCGCGCACCGCTGCTGCGAGGTGGCCACCACGTGGCTGCGGTGCTCGGCGCACCAAGCG